AGCAGTGACTTCTTAAACCGATTTTCCTGTAAAATGTAACAATGTAAATAAACAAGTTTTAATATCAGAGTGTCTCCCTTCCATTTAAGGCACAAAATTGCTATAAAATAGTTATTTGAGACTACTCATTTTTCATAAGCTTGGAGGCCATTCAGTTCAGAGTGAGACACATCCCCTGTAACCACACACCAGCCCCACTCACGCTGCTGTAAAACTCCCCTGTGGTTTTCGGACAGGTGTTGGCTCTGCTCTGCCCTCGTTGATGGACAGGTAATATTTCTGCATATTGAATGCATACACACAATTGATGTTGATAGGTAGAGGCTTCCTAGAGTGTGCAAACAAGGGATTTTTCTTACACTTCCTCTTCAATTTTTTATTTTTATTTTTTTGCAAACTGAATGCCCTTGCCCCGGTACAGCAGCCCTACCTCTTAGTAGTAGCTCAAAATGCAATGCAGGCTCCTGTCTTCATTCCTCTAGTTTTTTGTTCAGATGCATGACTTGGATGTAGGACTAGAAGGCGCTTTGTGCAAATTTGCAGACAATGCTAGACCAGAAGGAGCTGCTGATTCCATCCAGAGCACAGAGGCCTTGCAGACACATCCAGACAAACCTACAGCAGGCAATCACCAACAGCATGAAATCTCTAGATTTTGCTTTGTATGAAGGCATGAAGGCATAAGGAGGCATATTTGGCAAATCATGGTTGATGCATTCCAAACATACCAATATGCAGAGGAAAGGAGTTTGGTTTAACCATTCTGTGGAACCCTGTTAATGGGTACAGGCTTCCCTACTAGTAATACACTTTCTTGTGCCTAATGCTTTTGTTACATAAAGGCTTTAAAATAGCTCACTTAAGAGCTCTACCAGGGAGAAAACAAAAAAAAAAGTAAATAAAGGAGCAATCAACACAGCCTAGGAAGAAGCATATGAATTTCCAGTGGCTGGTACTGGTGCACAAAGTTGGCAACTAAGAGAGATTTTTAATTGACACATGTTTCCTAGGGGGTGGAAGAAAACATCACTCCAGTGGTTCTTTCAAACTAACAACAACAACAACAACAAAAAAAGGGAGTCTGGAGTCAGTTCAGCCATGGAATTTCAGATGGGACAGTAAAAGAAAAGACTGTCATTGCCTCACACAAAAAGAAAACCAAAAAAGTCTAGAGCTTTATTGTCATAAAAAATAAAAGATATTACAAGTTAAAAAAAAAAAATGTTTAGCTTGCAAGCAAGCCATCACAAAAATATCTCCAACTTTACTGAAGCAGTTTGGAATGTTGCTTTAAGCCCCTGTGCTAGATGTGACCACAAAGAAGCAAGGCCTGTCATCATGGATGGAAAAAGCTGATGTCAGACTCAGAATGAGCAAGGCAATGTAAGTGCTGATGGTTGCACAGAACTGGTCTGAAAGCTGCTCCTACCCACACACAAGCTTATCAGGGCTTCAGGCAACACATTCATGGGATGCTTCAAACTGCATTCATGGAAAATGACAACCTCTGTGCATTTGACATCTTTGTAGTCCTTCAATAGGTGTTTTTCTCCTCTCCTACACAAACTCTCTTTTGCTGTGTATAGATGCAGTTCCCACATGGTGTTACTGTTCTACTAGATGGGTGTAACAAGGGCCTCTTGTTACACCCTCCTCCTGTAGAGTGCTCGAGCCCAGGGAAGGTGCTCCTACACAGAAGCAGACCTAAAGACTCACAGATATGGTTCCCTTGGTTTGGTGTCAGCATCACCTACACAGGATCCGTGAAAGATCAAACATTACACCAAACTGTCCTGCAGCAATTTTTCCACCAGTCATTCATCATCTGCATTGCAGTTTGTTACAATTGTTTTCCTGAACGTCTACTTACCAAAAACTGTGTTGGCAACAAATTTTGAAATCTCTTCTACTCCAAAACAAGCCAATCAATAAAACTAAGTGACCCATCCTCCCTAAATACATCAAAATCCCCAAATGCACCCGCAAGGTACATACACAACTTCTTCACAGCTGTAAGGGATCACAGTTGCTCAGAAAGGAGGGCTGTTCTCAAAGTGACACCAGGGTTTGGAGAATTACGTTTATCCATCTCTAAGACTTCTGTCCAACTTACAAATTCAGATGTGGCATCCACAGAAATGCCATGTACACTGCATCTATTCTGACCTAACGTTATATTTAACTATCAAAACAATTCACACAATTTTAATCTTGCAAGGTATTGTAGGTGAAACCTCTTAAATCTCCATGCTCAGCCCCACTACCTGCAGAAACTTACCTATCAAACAAAGCCAGCATCTGAACAACTTGCTTGTTCAAGGCTCATACTTTCTGGCCAGGTCATCTGATTCTCAGATCGATTCTAACTCTGCCTCTCTCAGTTTTTCTGCTACCAGGTCTCAACTGAAAACAATCTCAAAAATATCATTTATTTCACATTGAAAGTACAGAGGATAATGCACAAATCCTGGCCCTGCAGCTTTGGGCTCACCACAGGGCACATTTATGTGCAGAAGGAGTGAGAAGCAAAACGAAAGAGAGAAAGCTATTGAGTTTGGTTTGCTAGTTTTGGATAATAGGAAATGAAGAGGTAGAAAATGAGCTTTTGGAAGGTCCTTCCATGAATCCCAGAAGGACAGGAAAGAAATCAGGCTGCTGCTGTGCACTCAGCCCCAGCTTTGCAGGGCTTCCCTTCACCAACTGGCTATTGGGAATGTTTTCTCGACTCTTGCTTGCAATACACAAAAGTCAGTCTGCGTGACAAGGAAGGCTCCTATTGCTGCATTTGCTTTCACTACACAAACATGTGCACCACTTTTGTGGAAACAGCCAGGGGCAGGGCAAGCTGACCACAGGCAGGGCAAGCGTGGGTACACAGCTCCTGGTCACTCTGCCAGTGTATTCCAGTTATAGAAGACACCCTGTCACAGTGCCATACAGCTTCCTGCAATGGGCAGCACAAGTCCAGACCTTGGCTGGCCCATTTTACTACTGTAAAGCATGCAGACCAACAAGAACTTGGCCCAGCATCATTCCCCAAAAGATACAGCAGGGCCTTTAACAGTTTATTATTAAGCTGATCAAGAACTTAACAAGTATGAAGTAGTTGTCCTGAACACACACTTTATCTCTCCAGCTTTTTTCTCTGGATATTGATGCCTTCACACATCTTCAGCACCCAGGGGTGAAACTCATCTTTGTTGTCTTCACTCAGAAGAACAGGATGAAAATTGAGCTTTATCTACTTCCAAAAAAAAAAGGGAGGGGAAAAAAAAATAAGTAACTTACTCAGTAATTCTTACAAGAGCACCACTGAGCTGATGAAAAGCATCAGTTAGTGATAAGACCAGCTCAGAAGAAATCAAACAAACAACAGAAAAACCAGGGTCAGCAAACAGATCTTTTGTGGAAAACTTTAGGGTAACTTGCACAAGGCCATTTTGCAATACATCACCTGCAGAAGTCAAATGGACTTCAGCTACCACACTGACCCAACAGCATGGGAAATGGCACGAGATGGGCTGTCCAAACACAGGAGACCATTCCTGACCCAGATGTTGTCTATACTTGTACGCGCTGCTGACACAGATGTGAAGACCACTGGGAAAGACCAAAGCTTCCAGCACATCCTCCCAGCTCAGGCTGTTCAGAGCTTGTCAGGCTTAACTTGTTATGCTGCTCAATAGATAACACAGTTTATATAAAAGGATAGAAACGAACTGTTGGGGAAAGTATCATTTAAGCTATTTGGCAGCTCTGCCCCCTCTCCCATCCTACCCTATCAGGGAAAGCAGCCTTATGGGGTCCAGTAAAATAATTAAAAGCAATAAAAGTTACCATTGTTGCATACATGCTTCAGTGAAAGAGGATGTTTTCTCCTTATTCAAGCCACCTGAACTGCTCAACACACCTTCCAAACTTTTTACTGACAGATTACACAGGGATTCAACAAGAAATACACTATGCAGCAGTTTTATTCCTCTAAGTGCCCTACCACAGATAATTACATGAGAAACCTGCCTATTTTTACAAATGATATGAAAATGGTGTTCTATCACCATCCACCAACAGTGGGGAGACGTAGCAAAACAGAACTTGCAACATCTATTTCCTTGTGCTCACAAAACTTACATGCTTGGCTGCTCTAACCTGGAGAGCAAGTAAAACCACCAAAAATGACCTCAGAAATGAATGGCCATTGCTATCATAGTTTGAGGGGAAAAAAAAAAAAAAGATCCCTAAGTCAGGGAGAGCCCTTATTTCTCACTATGATTCCTGTGTCAAACCTTCCCTTTGCACAATGAACATGCTGTTAAGGAGGTGAACAAGCCTAAGACAGACAAGACAACATCTGTCCCTCAAAGGAGGTGACAGTGCCCAAGGTCACAGGTTACAAAAGCAGAGTTTCAGTGACTGCTGTAAAGACCCTGCAGAGCAGCAGAAGGATGCACCATAGTCAGGTAAGCAGGGACAGCCCTCAAGGAAATGCAGGCAAACCAGCAGTCACAAAATAGCAGCTCCAGTCTTTCACACATTACAAATGGTAGAAGGCAGACCAGTGGTTCTGGATCTGTAGGAACGGCAGGAGTGAATAAGTCTTTGCTTTTAATCAACTTGGAAAGAACCAGCCACCCCTTGACATAAAGGGAAGTGCAGCCTTATCTCACACCAGCCCAGGAATACTTCAACAAAAGGAACAAGCACTACACGTGCAGGAAGTGTTTCAGCAATAGCAGCTGTGGATTTTCACTGTTCTCAGTTCAGGTATAACACTGCAACCTTTTTGAGAGGGAGCAAGCTCAGCTACCTGAAGGCTTTCAGTGATGAAACAACTCTGGCAGAGCTGGACTTTTGCCATGCAGGCACAATGTGTGCAGGGGAGATTCCCTTGGTTCTAACTCACACAGCAACATGAGGTCTGTTTTGCAAGGCAAGTAGGTAGAAACAGAGCTTGGAACCACGCCACATTCCCACACATTCATTAAGATGCAGCAGCACAAGTGAAGTTTGTCACAAGCTGCATTTAATGCTGTGAAGAGCAACTGCAATTTAGGAAACCAACTTGTTGAAAGAGAGGATGATGTTAAATAGCACAGTTCATCTGCTGTATGATTTCAAGAGACCTTTGGTGTTACTTATCTAATCCTAACATTGGCTTCTGGGAGAATACAAAGTACAGCAAGCAATAAATACTGGATTTAGAAATAATTTCTCTAGTTTCACTTGCCTTTATGTCTGCAATGCTCCAGGTTTGTTGCCCTTTAGTCTGCAGAATGCCGCCAGGCACATGGCCAAAATCCAGTAGATCCATTTGTGCTTTCTTCTCTGCAGTCCAGAGCTTAGTGGCCCATGTGCATCAGTTTGTTGGCTGAGTCACTATACTTAGTTCATTTTCTATTTCTTCAGTATTTAATGAGCCTATCTTACAGTTTTGCAGGAACAACATTTCAGACACAGGTCAAAATGGAACAATTCAACCAGCATAAGCTATTCTTAAACCAAATAACAACAAAAACTCACTATCAATGTTATTTTCTCTCTCCCCATTTTTCTTTCCATTTAAAATAGATTATCATCTCCTTCACAGGATCATCTTATCTGCATTTTCAAACACTCCAGTGAATCAGAGGGCTGCTAGTCAGAAGGAACAACAAACACACCATTCTCTACTGCAGTCTTCATTGAGACATGGTGCTGTAGGGGAGAAAAAAGGTAAGAAAAACATTTCAAGTTTGTACAGATTTTTATGTTGTGCAAGATAAGAGTTGCAGAGAGCTAAGAATACTTAAACTCAGCTTTTAATTGCCTAATACCTAGCCTGGAATAAGGTGCTGCAGGATGAGCAGCTCCCGTGATGCAATTGTAACCTCCTTGTTAATCCCACGTGTGCTTGCTGCTCTTCCAGTCCCTTAACCAGGGGCAATTCTGTACCCCTATATTCTGATAGTTCAGTGCTCATAAAGGAATCTGCTCCCTAACTGGCTACTAGGATCCCTAACAACACCAAAACAACCTGTGGACAAAAGAATCCCTCAGCTATGTACTGAGGAGAAGTATCACCACATGATGGTCTTCGTCCTTATCTTCTCCCTTAGGCAAGTGATTTTTGGCCACTTTGCTTTCCCTCCCTTTTCCCCAATAAACCAATCATAACAAAACCAGTAAGAACCTTCTCAGCACAATTTAACACTCAGTTTTAAACAGAAATGGCACTTACTGTGGTGTTGACAATCGTACTGGCAAAACTCTCAGCTGTCTCACCCAGGGCTGAATCAACAGACTGAATTCTACGGGGAAAGTTAGCTGAGATGAGTTGGTTTGTTAGGCATCTATTGCTTACAGATAAAACAGTGATATTTAACAATAAAAAACTAAATTTAGGATTATCCTTTTCACAGCTTTGTGCCCAGCACTGGTAACATCAGCTATTTTTTTTTTATTATTATTTTATTTTATTTTATTTTTTTTTAAACACAGAAGTGTCACCTTCTTTGATCCCTGTATAGAGATCTATATGGTGACTCTATATGGTGTGCATTCCAGACTCAACCTCTCCGAGTGCATGCCCATCATGCACAACCTCCCATGCAGAATCCCTCACTGAGTCCTAGTGCCAGTTTAAGGTCCTTATGGGCTGCAAAGACTCTGTCAATGAGCACTAAGTGGAGGTGCCCCACCACCTTCAGGCTAACTTCAACTACCAGAGGACCTGTGAGCAGGGTGGACAACAGGTAAATGTGTACCTTTGCTTCTGCTGGTTGCAGAAAGAATTCAGTTTGTGCAGCTGTGCGTTCCAGAAGTCCTAAAGAGAGCCCAAAGAAAATCCCATTAATTTAGAAGGGGCACTCTAGGAACTGGCACAAGAGGAGTACTACACACCACTGCATCCTTCTCCATGTTCCTCAAGATCTGAGTATCTTTCTCAAGGCTGGCAAGCTCTTCCACAACAATCTTCTTGAAGGCTTCCAGCTTGTTCAGTCTAGTGATAGAAAACAGAGACAGGTTCAACACTTCAGGGTGTAGGAGAGCAAAGCTGTGGACACCCCCATGCGCCTTCAGCACACAATCCACCTGTAGTCAGACCTCCTTGCTGAAACTAACAGAGAAGATTTGCTCTCAGAGCACACAAATAGCTGTACCACACCAAATCAGAGGCTTGGTTAGCTACATGCTGGTCCTGGGGCTCAGCACAGAGCATACAGCAGAGTTCCCAGTACAATTATTAAACGAAGGACATTATTTCATGCTATGCTTATTGTAACTCCCACAAAGTGTAGCAGATACAGAGGTTTGATAGGCTTACATGTAACTTCAGTCATGTTTTTATTTTGCTTACAGCAAATTCATGGGTAGACAAAGCCCATTGGGCAACTGCCTGAAAGTCCTTTAGCTGACTCCCCCCCCCCCCCCACACACAGACAATCCACAGAAATGGCTGTATAACAAAGCATGGATAAATAACCCCCCCTAGTACTTCTCCCCCACTTCTTAAAATGAATCAGCCTGCCTCCTTTGTTCACTCTCTTGAAACATCACAAGAGAAGCTGCTAAGTTCAAAATCCTTGTTCTACAGATCTATTTATCGGTGATGACGACAAGAAGTCAATAGCTTCAGTCACTCCTAACTCAAGAATTCTTTGCACTGAAATCAACCAACTCCTGTACCTCTACAAGAGAAGAGGAATGAAGCCATGCTTCTGAAACTCTCCTTACAGAAAAGAAAAGACAGACAACCAACTTTGCCTTAAAAACCATAGAGGTCAGGCCCTCTCACAAAGAGGCATTTCTTTGTAAGAAATCAGTTTGCATGGAGCTGAAGATGCTTCCATTCAGCACACACTTCACCTGCACTTGTGAATCTCTTTCAGCAGAGCTGAAACATTCTTCTCAGAAGTCTTCAGCGTGTTCTGTGCAGACATCTCCATCTCTTTGTACCTGGACTGACCGCAGAACACACCATTAGGAGCAGGCATGTGGTACAACCCCAAGCCTAAAAATCCAGTTTGCAAAACATTTCCATGAACACACACTGACATAATTTTTAAAAGTATAGAAACTCCAGAATTGCTGCCTGGTACAAAGTGTCAATCCCATATAAATCTGATAGGGTGAGAGCCTGGCTTGTTTAAAGCTTTATAACAAGATTTTCTGATAGCATGCTCTCATACTAGACTTGGGTTTATGCCATCATTACTCATTAAAGCTAAATTGACAGTAACAGTAGGCTCCCCACACTACATCTCAAGTACATTCACACTGTGAGTGAACCAACAATATGCAGCACACATAATACTCACTGAGAAACCACCACCTCTGCAAACCTGTGATCTGGGAGATACAAACACGTCCTTGTAGATCTACCTGTGTTTCAGTGAATAGATGCAGTCTGCATTGCTTCCTATTTTTCATTAGGAGAAACCTATGGAGTTTGTGCTCTAAAACAAAGCTTTCATATTTCTGATATTTGTCCATGAGGGCAACTATTTATGTCCCTGATTTAGGCACACTGAAACTATTCTGAGTTTCTCTGAAACTTGGATTCTTTTCCTCTAACAAGAGTGTGCAAAGTGCCTTAAAAAAAAACAAAAAAAAAAAAACTTATTTTCCAGCACAGAAACGAGAAAAAAAAGGAAGAACTGATTAAAATTTCCTTTATTCACTCCTTACACTTCCTGTAGCACTTAAGAGTACAGGGGCTATTGAAAGAACTTCAAGATAACAGACACCACAGCCAAAATACCACCACCCAAGGCATACACATTAAGAAAGTGCAAGTTACCCAGAACAGTTGCTTTAGCTGGTTGGTAAAACTTTCAAATACAGCAATCACTCCTGAATCACCAAAATCCTTGTGCTGCATCTTGGAAAAAAAGGCAGTGCTCATATCAACCATCTCCTGACCTACAAGAAAGCATGTGCCTGGTTAGTACCACACTGGGGGCCCTAGTGGGAAACAAACCCAGGTGATACTACAGGGAGATGTAAACAACAACTTCATTATCATGGAGCAGCATATTTACAGATAACGATGCAAGATGACAGAGGTCAGTTATCCAATAACTGCAGTTTGGTTGTCCATTATCTGTATGCTTTCTATAAAAGAAATTTTTAATGACTCGTGACAATCACTATTCAGAAAGAATAAAAAACACTACTACCTGACTAGATGGTGGTTAGGAACCCCAGATTTCCTTACATCTCCAAATATGTGGCATCCAGTGAGCAAACCGTAAGACAGGCCTTCTCCTACACTGACTTTTGGAGAGGACATCCTCCCACCACATCTCTCTCCCCCTCAAGCTTTCACATGACTCTGATGTCTACCAATAAAAAAAAGCTGAAAACGTTTCAATACTTCACCTTAGGTGCCAATTTGACTTTACCTCTCTTCATCTGCTCTTCCTTCTCAACTGAGTTCAAAACTTTCTTTGATTTAGAGGGTGACTCAGAGGACAAGTGCTTGGTTTCCGAACTGAGAAACCTGGGCTTCTTCACAACAGTGCCACTTAATGCATCTAGGAGAAGAGGAGAGGTTTCAGTTCTCCTGTTCTTTACCAGGAGACACATAGTAGCCATGCCTACTAGATACACAAGCAAAAAGCACTACTGGAATTACCAATACTGCAGAAAAGCAGGCAACTTCAGTTTAGTGTGTGGCATCACACTTTCACAGGACAAGACTCTACCAGCAAGTCTCTCCCTACAAAAGCTGTCAACCAGACTGTACTATGCAGCTAACTAGAAAACTACTGTATTTCCATCTCAGAGGTTATTTCTTGTCTCACTATTCTGGCCAAGAAAAACTCTTCTCCATCCCAAGCTGACAATCTGTTTATGCTCAGTTCTTTCTAAGCAGTTCCATCTGCTACTTTAAAAATTAAAAAATACATAAATAAATAACAAATACAGAGAGAGAAAGACTGAACATCCATAACAGCTGCTTCTTCTAGATCTTCAAAACCTCGCTATACAATTGCTTTTAGCTTAAAAACACCCTTGGGAACACAGCAAGAAGAGGCAGCCTGTATTTAAGTCAAACTTGCACATTCTGAGTAAGGGGTGACTTTTTTTTGCTGCATTTCTCTGAGGTCAGTGAGGTGCCTGTGGTTGAGCCTCTTGGGGCCTCCACAGGGCAGGGATCAGGAAGGTGGTGGAGCCCAGCATGAGGGGACAGCGAGGCCATGAGGAACATGCTGCAGCAGCACAGGGTAGGTTCAGGCTTCATGGAGTATGTGATCGGATGCCATCACAGACCACACCTGGCATTTCTGAACAGAACCATTTCTGAACAGAACCCCACTTTTGCCTTTATATAGCATCAGCTTTTCTCCCACCATAACACTGCACAGTAAACAACGATCAAGAACAAGCCTTCGAAGTTACGTTCCCTCAAACTTATGTAGAGGCATTGACACAGTGAAAGTATAATCTGCAAGTGCTAGACAGATAGGAGTCATATTGACATACGAACACAGCCATCCCAAGAGAGAGTGCTTTCGTCCAAAATCTGCACTTCAGTGACTCAGGTCATATTCCCAACCATAACTTTAAAACTGTTCTTCTCAGAGTTGCATTGACAGTAATAGGATGAAGACAGCCCATTGCTGCTTGACTTTCATGAAGTTTGGTTGTTTCCAAAAACAAAGATGTTGTGCAACAGTTTTGAGTTTTGAGTCTGTGCAAGTTCAGTTTCACTTCAAGTCCTTACTTCAAGTCCTTAGCCCCTGTTACCTAAGAAAGCTACAGCTTCAGTAAGCATCAGTGCATGCCACCATTTACCTTCATAATCACTGCCTATGTCTATATTATTAAGGGAAAAGAAAGTCAACAGCTTTCTGAAGAGTGTCATCTGTTTTTAAATTACACAGTTGCACTGCACCTCCAAATCATTAGATTTAGGGTTTATTCTTTTGTTTATTTCATATATTTACTCCCAGGTTACCAGTTTGTAAGTCTCCAAGCTCTGACCAGCTACACTGCTAGTTCTCTGGCAATCAAGGGAGGGATCTCCAACATCTCCGAGTGGCAGTCAGCCCTTAAATAGGGTCTAAGAGAGGTGGAGCCAGGCTCTACCCATTCTGTTCACACAGGTGAATTGCCTTCACCCTGTGCTCCCAGGGCTGACTTGGTGCTTTCCCCAGGTGATCAGTCAGTGGTTCAGGCCATGACTCAATTGTTCCCATACAGTGATGAATTCAGGAATTTATATAAAAAGCATCTTGCCATAGCCTACCACAATACTAAAAACATAGAAATTGAAACTATTTCCTGTGCAAAAGGCATCCTTTAAATATCAAAAAACCTCCCTGCTTATTGGCCTTTGAAAGAAATTGACAACTCCTTCAACATCCCTTTCTGCCTTTTAACCAGCTCTCCCATAGTAGTAAGACCAACGTACCCAAGTCCTTCCGCTTAAAGCTTTCTTCTTCTCTTGTCTCTTCACCAGACACATTGCGAAACTTCTAAGGAGAGATGGAAAAGAAAATAAGGCAGCATCCAGGAGACAGGCAAGCTGTCAGGGGCTACAGATTAAGCAAAATCACACAATACATGGATGGCCTGCAGATGAGAAGCAGGCTGAGGGTAGGTTGGGAGAACTCAAGCACTGCATACAGAACCTGCGTCACATCCTTCTCCACAACAGAGTGCTCCTCCATAGACACATCCAGTAGCTGCCATGTGGGCTCCTCTGATGGCACATCACCTGAGTGAGAAGGTAGCCAAAGGATTCAGCCACTCCTGTCTGTGACCAGATTCACCATGACATATGAATAACACCATCCATACTTCATGGGTAAAGCTCCCTGCTACCAGAATAAATGCTGTGTGCATCTTTACCATGAGCATCATTTGTTTTACAGAGTACAGGAACTACCATTAAAATTATAATTTTTTTTTTTTTTATAAAGTTAATCAGCACTGAAGAATAGAGAAGAAAACTCAGCCTGAAATACAGGCCAGTCTGTCTGCGTTCAATACTTGCTTTCCAACACAGAAGAAAATGCCAATTCCTTTGTATTAATATCCACACTATTTTTTTTTCCCCTAAAGTTTTAAATTATAATGCTTGAAAGGAGCTGTCTTTTTTTTTTCTTCCAAGAAACAATACTTGAGCACTTAAGTATAGGTAGCAGAGCAGTCTAGATAGAGTAAGGTAGCACAAACACAGCATATCCTTCCCACAGAAACCAGATCAACAGCCCCAGCTGTTGCTCTCTCTGCTCAAGGGACTTCACCTACCAACAATAGCCAGGCCTTGCAGTCACTACAGGAAATGTTACCAGGTGGAACATTTATGAGGCAAAGTACTTTTCTAATACACTGGACATCAGTATAAAAAGAAATACCAGCAAGATCCACGGTAGGTAAGTCATCACCCTTAGAGGTGGATGTGTGTTTTTTCCTTGACACTTTCTTTTCATCTTTTTGTCTTGCTGTTCTCTGCTAAAACAAAACCAAGTCTTAGTACGTATTTTCTTTAAAAAGTACAAATAGTCTTTTTGGAGTGGATTGATTTTTGAGAATTTGTAAGAGCAGAAACCTCAAGGTGTACCTAACACAAACTGATAGCTCTCTTCAATGCTGTGCCCTGAATTTATCTGCATGCTAAAGTTCTGCATTTAGCCAGTAAAGCTGTATAGTAGATTAAGTTTTTCAGCTGCAGAATCAAAGCATTTTCAGTCAAGAGAAAATAGAAAAGGTTTCCAGGGAAAGATTAAAATTCTCAGTGCAGCTTCAAGTTCTAGAAACTTTTCCCATACTTGCTGCGTTCAGGTAGGACCATTTTCAAAACATTTCAGATACAGCACCTAACAGCTGGGCACTAGAACAGCCTGGCATTGCTCAACTGTGTTTTATTCTGCTTTATGTATGCCTGGTCCACTTGCTGTCTGTCAATATAACTCATGGCTAGCTTTCCAGAAGCTATAGCTGAAAGGAGAGAATTTGTATCCTCAGCCTCTAGCAGCCCAACAGCATCAGCAATATCAAACTGGCATTTGTTCATTAGAACAATATGAGAAGATGATTCAAATGCATTGGCTCCCACTCACTTGCTCACGTTTTGTATCAATATTGTTTCTAAACCTATGCATGACAAACTCCTCACCTCTTCCATCTGGTTTTCATTGCCGCTGCTTGGAGATGACACTGGAAGTACTGTGGGGAGAAAGTTTTACCTGGTTACCAGCAATACAAACTGGGAGCCATCTCCATTGGTTTGCAGCACGGCTAAAAACGCCAGAAAGAAAAGGAAAAGAAAACCTGTAGCGTTACCTGCTCACCATGCATGATGTGAACCAAGCCTACCTTTTAATTTCCTTCTCACCCTGCGCCTTTTTCGGGTGTAGTTGAAAGATGTTGGCAGTGGCTCTTTCTGGGAGTTGACGATCCAGCTTTTCTCACTCTCACTGTTGCTTGATTTTTCATTATTGCTTTCAGAGAAGAGATGCTTCCTGTAACTAAGATGAAAGACACCGTTAGGAGTCCTGTTCAGCCAGCTCCCCTCTGCCCCTCCCCAGAAAGCTCAGCAGCCATTCTTTTCCTCTAAAGGAAATTACTTCATTCTTTCCTCCCCACAATGCAATACCTGAAGCATTTCAAGCTGCATAAAAACACTAGGAGCACAAAAGCAGATACTTGCCTTTGCTAATACAGGGCTTAGAACATCTTCCTGCCTCCTCTCACAACTAAACAGCAACAGCAGGGCATGCTATGATACCAGCAAGCTGCTCATGCACAGCCACTACTACTAGTTCATTTATCAATTGCACTATTAACAAATTAAATAAACAGTAATTCATCAATTACAAAAACATACAGATCAATAGTAAGATAAATTCATAGTTAGAACTCAACACTTCTATTGCCAGTTTTCCCTTCTTTGTCTGGTTTCTACGAGTCACAATTTGGGAATATCCAAAATTTAGCATCTAAATGAAAGGCAGAGGACTTCAATATTTTTCTAAAGGTAAATCAGTTTGAGAGCTCAAGTGTTATTGTTACCAAAGTATGCAAGAATAAGTTTTCTCTTTAGTAATTCTCACATTTTCAGATTCTCTTTAAATGCTGCTGTAGGTGACATCCAACATCTGCAGGTGCTATGATAGCTAAGTAAGGAACTGTTTTGGAAACATACCATAGCCTTCTTAATCTTAACTCTCAGCAGTATAACTAAGGCAATGAGCTGTTCTTACAACAAAGAAGCATTTCATGGATGGTGCTCCTGTACCTCTGATTTTGTGAATAATTTTTCTTCCTGAAAGCCTTCTCTTTGGCTTCAGAAACCTAATAAGAAAAAAAAAAAATGTACACACGCTTGTCTTAAAGTTTATTTATTCTGTAAAATCATCTCCAAAATTAGAGCAGTTCTACCCAGATGGAGTTTGGATGGAGCTGTCAGGACATCAGGCTGTGTATCACATAGCAAGATTTCATGCTGACACCCAGTGGTAGCAGAGAGGACTGGATGGTGTCCAGTTTGTAACAGTTCTCCCGCTCCTGAAAACCATTCCTTAAGTATAACACTAAAGAGAAATACAATAGAAATAGAAATGCCTGCTTTGCTATGTGAGCACACCCACCCTTGCTGCACATCTGTGATCAAATGTATTCCCTCACTGTAAGCCTCTGCTCTCTGGTAGTTGCTGAACCATGAGCTCAGAACAGCCCCTGAGAGCTGCCTCAGTTTTACCTTCTCATGACTTGCAGAGTCCGAGACCTCAAAGTCATAGCAGTCCTTCCTGCAAGAGAACACAGCGTGGCAGGCTGCCATGAGCAGTCACCCAAAGGCACTGAGAAGTACTGAGGGAGGGGAACAAACTGTTTTACTACTTGAAGTTCATAATTAAATAAGTGTCATATGCCTAATACAAATCATTCCTTAGCACATGGTAGGAGAAAGTCATGAATGAAAGATAAGTTCAGAAGCATTCAAGAAAAATTAAAAACAACAACAACAACATTTTCAAATCATAGAATGGCCTGGGTTGAAAAGGACTGCAGTGATCATCGAGTTTCACCCCCCTGTTCCTCCCAGTATTTAATTCCCTTTTGGAAGCTTAAATTTAAACATTTGTTCCCTAATCACTTTTCTTATTTAGTTTTTGTGCCCTTAATTACTTAAAATGAAGGGTATTTTTCTTTCTTTCACAAATAACAGCTACTTTAAAAGTCCTGCAATTAGTTCTCAACACACAGCATACTCTCCTTTTCTCACAAGTAAAAGGACAAAAAGAGTAAAAAAATCAATCAATCACACTTCTCAGTAAGACTTCTTACTAGAAAGAAATGCTCATTTTCAGATGAAGCACTAGAGGGAGCAGAACGATTGCTCTTAAATCACATCTCCATTCCAGCCTGATACTGTTATTCCTGTTTTCTGAAGAGGAGGGAGCACCAAGGTACTTAATCTTAGAACACAGACTACGCAGTGATGCTGACATTCTGTGCTAAGTTTTTCTACTTCTATCCACATCCAAGCATGTCTTATAAACTAAGAATCACTGGATTAGACAGGACACACATCAAAGCCAAACACAACCAACACCACAGCAGGGAGGAAAAGCCATCTCAGAGCTCCAGGACACGAGATACCAAACAACTGGGATCCTGTTATGACAGCCACGTTCCATTATTGCAGCTATGAGATAAAACCAGCTGGGATACCAGACCCCACTATGTGCTTGCACCATACCTGCCTCCAGTCTTCTGCTTGACCAAACCTTTTATTCTGGTTCTCCTTTCCAAGGTACCAACCTTTTAAAAAGAAAAGTGTTATGGGATCAAAAGCTGTTATATGCAAAGTCACATACTCAACCTAAAGCCTGATAAAAGCAGGGGTAAGGAATATCAGGAAACAACAGCCTTCCTATCCCAACAACAGCCTAGCTGTAGCTATGTAGTTCATTCCTACCAGAAAGCATGGCAGTTCTGATGCTGGAATCGGGGACAGGCCATTGAGGGTATAAAAGAAACAGTTTAAAAGCTTTGAACTCATTGTGCAGGGCTAAGTATGACAAAAACATGGAAGAAAGACACCAGAACATCTCATCTCTTACCTCATGTGTCTTCACTCAGTATCAAGGAAAACATACCTTGGTTGTTGATGCTTCTGTAAGTTTCTCTTCTGATGGCTTCCCACTGTGGAGGATACGTGAGTGAGCACAGTGCTGAGGGGATAGTGTTTTAAAGCCCAGAGTCCATTCATGAAGTATTAAGAGGAAAGGAACTTGTACCAATAAGCCTTCAAGCAGTGGTTTAGCATGTGCATAGGGACAAAAGCTCCTCTATAGAAGAGCAACTCATTAACTATAACACTGTCCTTCACAGCTCTGAAAAACGGTATCAGTAACACCAAAGTGGACACAATTTCACATCATCTTCCACAAAAATCATGGTCCTTATTACAAGCAGCTATATCTTTGAACTGAGCATGCAACAGAAATTAAGCTGTAATACAGATATACACTTACATTGCATTTTAATTAAATTAGGCATGAGAGGCAGTATCACCTTGCTAACCAGGGTGGCAAAGCAGTTTATTTTTTTCATTTCATAACTGATGAAACAAACCTCATAATCACATGCACTTTAACCCAAGGTAAGGGGAGGAAAAAAAAGCCAACACCTTCCAGCTTCCAAAAGACACTTACCTAGACTTCATATCCATCCTTGGAGATAGAGTTTTGGACTTGGTTGCTGAAGGAGACAAGGAAACTACAGCTTCACTCTCTGGAGCAACTAGTAAATGTTTTTGTGTGCCTGCTTTCTCTGGAAAGCCCACAAAAGCAGAACCTTCACCAAGTCACCCAGGTGACACTTAACTGGGTCACGCTTAAGGAACTGAAGAGAGCCATGCCTGACCTGAGCCTTGGTCAGCTTCGTCCAGGCCAGACTGCTGGTTCACTGCAGTCACGGTGACAACAGAGTTAGACGTTTCCTGCTTGGAGACATGAAACCAGCAACAGAGCACGTTTATGACTTATAAAGTAGGGTTTTCTCAGGTTTTTTTGTTTGTTTGTTTTACAAGATCAGAATTTCAGTGCCAGCCTGCGGCAGTAATAGCTACATGATCATTGCTAGTCGCATACAATAAGTCTTTGAGTTATATTTGAGTGATACTGTGAGCACCACACAGATCATTCCACCATTGTCCTGAAGTTGTGGGTTGGTTTTTGTTGTTGTTGTTGTTTTTTTTTTAAAGCATTTTGCCAATATTTCAGATCTGGGGACAAGTATTTAGGCTGACTTTCCCACTGATATGAGAAAGGTGGAGTTTAAAAATAGGTCAGTTCTGAGTACAAACCAGGCCTCTTGGAAAGAAGGTTTTAAGTACACTTGTGAAAAGCTGGAGGGAAGAAAAAGGAGACAGAAGGACAGCTTTGCCATACACCAAACACTCACTGCTACAGTGCCCACTAACTGCTCGTTGTGCTGTGAGATCAAGTTTTCTGCTAAGGAATCCACGTTTCCTAAGTTTTCAGGATCTTTCTTCTGTAGATCACTGGACTGAGATGTCACTGCAGAACAACAATCTGGATGAGAATATCTTCATGACATTTAAATACATACACCTCTCTGTTCTTAAGCACGCATGCAGAAGTGTAACAGTACCAGCTATTAGACAAACATCAAGATCACACTCAGTAAAACATTAAAAAAGCCTAAGTTACCAAGGGCAGAATGGAAACGCTCAATAAATAAGCATCTTGAGCCTACCCTTCATCACACACAAAGATTACTGCAATTGCTGCCTTAACCCTTAGCTCTGCAACACGTGGCACAACCTCTTGTATCCCACTGAAGTACCAGACTAGAATTTCCACTGTCTGTTTCACTGTTAGATTCTCCAAAATGCACTACAAATATTGTTTACCTACAGACAAACTACATCCTACCCTTTGTGCTGCTTGATTGCTTTGAGTAGAGTCCACCTTGTACCTGAGTACATTATTCAAGATGAACACTGATGAAAGAGCTTCCTCACCTGTGCCTTCAGCACCTGGAGGACTTCCATTAGTGCTTACTTTGGGTTACAAATGGAAAGAAATGGGAATGAGTACTGAAAGAATTGCTGTCCCATATCTGCAGCTAGAAGCAGCTCTTTTGGATATTTGTCTGAAGAAAACTGAAACACGCTGTAGCTGCCAGTGCACACATCCAGTCTCCATGAGCTGTTTCCCTGCCTTTTTTTTTTTTTAATGTGGCTAATTGCAAGCAGTGGACTGTGAGTGAAGATACTCATTTTGAAATTGAACAACTTAAATTCCATAAAATAAAATAATGACAAAAGGGATCACCTTCTTCACTCTGCCTGGTTTGCTTCTCATTGCGGATGGGCTCCTCCTCACCCACATTTGTCTGTTAACGTGAAGGAATCTTATGTGAAATGACCTTAAAGTAGAATCCTTTATCTAATTCAGTTAGCTGCTTCATAGCATAATTAACATCTGTTAATCACCAGCAGCAAACCATTGGACACTTGCCAAGCTGACCATTTGGAAATGTCTCATCCCCTGCCACTGTATTGCAATTATTTATTCTGACATAAGATTTTCTGTAGATCCCACGGTCTGCAGATGAATTAAATGTATTAGAAATTATCAAACTGATAAATAATCAAAGAAAAGCACCCTCCTGTGTTCTTCCATTATACAATAAAAGCAAACTTTAAAAAAAAAAAACTCTCTACTGTTTAGATTAAAAGTAGTATCTACAAAGTCAGTCTATGTCCTGTAGTTGCTCTTTTCATCAGCTTCTGTGTCACAGTTTGTTCAACTTGTGCAAAAGTGAGTGTGAGAACTTGTTCACAGTTCAGTTCAAGGAAGGCAATTAAATGCAACAGGCTTTATTACCGCTTCAAAAAATCCAGCAGCAGCAATCATATCAATCAACTGATTAATAAGACAGTTTAACCTTTCCCACTTCTAAAGCATAAATTAGAATCCCTATAAGCTTTTTTTCCTATGAAGTGCCTGCTATCTATTTCAGGTCAAAGTTCTGAACAGCCATATTCAGTGCCACAAAATCTCAAGGAGAAGAATAATACTTAACAAACAGGTCAGAAAAAAGCCACTTGATGTTTTCACCAATCATATAATCAATAAAACACAGTTTAGTAAAGAAAAAAAAAGAAACTTAATGCTAAGAGCTTACCATCATTTTCTCATCTCCAAGGACTTTTTTAAGTATACTAAAGATTTCATACTCAGCACTGAAATGTAACTTGATTTTCGTTACTTCTGTTTTGTTAAGAGTAGCAGGTATCTTCATATAAATTTTGACTATCTTTTCTCCACCATCCTCTGTAGGGAAAGCAAAAGTCAGATCTCTTTTAGACCAAGACATTCAGTCTATCATCCTAAATACTTGTGTTTGTGGGTTTTTTTTTCTTTTAATTTTTAGGCAGTGTCTTTCACACCTTGCCCGTGGCATTTCCAGTTACATTGCCCATCCACTTCTTTCTCATTGGGCCCAGGTGATTATGCATCCATTACCCTCATAGCTACAGATGAGATCCCTCAATACATCCTGACTGGGTGCAAGGAACAACCTGCTTCCTTCACCACCTCAGTAACTTACAGAGCCTTACTGCAAGCAGGGCCTTGCAGTTGATGCCATGTGGAAAGCACAGTACTGAACAACACAGGCAAACCTTTCTTCCTTCTCTACTGCCACTGCAGGATACAACATGGAAGAGTCATCTACTCACGCAGTAGCTTGATGAGGCTCAGAGAAGCACTGGTGGCAAGCATTCAGTCACTGTTTTGGTTCTGCTTTTAATGGCAACGTCGCTGTCCCCCAGCATCATTCAGAAAATGAATTTTTGTAGAGCCTGATGTGGCTAGTGAAGTTGTTCACTCACACCAGTCAATCAACCACTGTGATAGGCCACTGAAAACCCAATCTTCAACATAAGCACAAGCCAAAAATCAGCATAGGGAGTGCTAGTGCAAAGTGATCAAACTACTCAGCATAGAGAAGGGAAGGCATCACTACCACCAAAGAGTTCCCATATTTTACATTGGCTCCCTTTGCCTTGCAGACTTGTGGACAAACAGAAGGTAAGGCAAGCAGACAAGTCTTACCCTTCAGACTGTAACAGCTGACTGCTTCTTTCTGCAGCCTTACAGAGTCCCAAAGAACACCCTTAGAGAACCAAAACCAACACATCAGCAATAGAACATCCACCTGCTGCATTAGGCTAACTCAGGGTTGCCAGGGCTTTTTGATTACCTCCGTACTATCTATGTAAAAAGTCACACTGTGACTGCCAGTGTTGAAGTCAATCCAGAACTTGTCCAGCTTCTCATCTGATGGCTTCTTCACCTGGGAAAATGTGGCAGTGGTGTTGTCACTTCCTCTGACATATCATTCTCAGTTTTCTTTAACAAGATGAAATTGGAAAAAAGTTGCCCTAGATATACACATATGTATGCCTCCCAGAAAGTTAACTTGGAATCAACCTGTGAGTTGTAAGTCTACCATTCATCTAGTCATACCCAACAAGTCAGAACAGGGCTGTACATCAGCTAAGTGAAAGGAAATACTTCGTGCAAATGCCTGCGTGTTGGCATCCAGTAAAGACTCTCAAGCCTTCTGGATTTCTGAGCACATTAGATAAGCCAAAGCAGCAGTACCAGCTTTCAACAAAGCATTTTAGTGACTTTGTTTTGTTTTGGTACAGCTGTCAGGAACAGTGCCACAAATATGTACATTTACTTGAAGACTTAGAAAGCAATCTGGAGAATTTATAACCGCAACTGTGACCTCTCCTACATGGGCATCAAGCTGATCTTGTTTTCTAGCAGCCTGGGAGGAGCCCTGCCAGAGGAATCAGAGTCCTTCTGATGCATTTTAGATCTCTTTTCAGTCATCACCGTGAAAAGAAGTGCTGCCTCTGTCATTTGGCTGACACAAAAGCAAAGTCAGCAGCAGTAAGTCAGGAGTTGGTTGACAAACAAGCAAACTTTTGAACTAGAATGGAGAGTTACATGCTGTACTCTGGAAAATTGAGTTCTTTAATGAAAAAAAGATCAGATGAAGAAACATACTCTGCACAAAGAACCGCAGTAGCACTTAGATAATGCAACCCAGCACTACTATCTCTTACCTGGCTCACGTCAGCAAAAGCAGACAGGCAAGGAAATGAATAGACTCTGGAAGAAAAGCAGACTTCATGTGACACATTCAACACCAGTCAAACTTGCTGAAAGCTGAAGCCATTAAGATTGGCTACTAATTTTACTGTTCAAAAAAATTTGATAACTTTCAAGAAGTTTAGAGAAGCTTAGGGGAAAAACAAAGTGATACCTCATGAATTTCAGCTTTCCAAAGAACCACTACTAGAATGAATAAAATCTTTTTCTTAAGAACAACTTAATTATTCATGTCTGTGATGTAAATCATTTTTGTGGAACATAACACAAGTTAACAACTTTTCCCCAACAGTTTTCAAATGGATTGCAGTTCAGTTTCCTGCTTCACAGCTTACCTTCTTTTATCCCCAAGCCTTTCATTTAACTGGTTAAGAAATTTCCTGCAGTCCTTCAAGACAAATAACATTGTATTAAAAAAAATAATAATAAAAATCAGGCTGTGTTTCCTTTGGAAGAAGTGATAGGTTATTGGAGATCTATAGCCTCTACTCCAGTTAAAAGCTTTTAACTCATTGGTGTGGCAACAGAAGCCACTGGCAAAAAGAAACTCAGGTTGCTACTGAGGGTACAACCCAACATATAATCAGTCAGCTTCTGAACATAAAACATACAGGTAAGCACTTTGGAAAGAAGAGATCTTCTCTTTTATATTTGTCAGGCTAGAAAGAAATACCTTCCACAAACAGCTAAGTAATTTCATATTTGTAAAATCAGTTCTTTGGGAACATCTTCCAAGGACATCCTGACTGAACTCAAACAAAACCAGCCCCTATACAGTCTTGTCAAATATGTTGTTTTCAAAATAAGAACCCTCACCGTCTCAAATTCTTTATCCTTGATCTCTTTGAAAGCTTCAGCAAGATATTTATCTTCAAACCAGTGGTTAACAAGGTCATCTCTCCATTTTTTTATCGTTAGCCTACAGAGCGCTTCCGAAAGGGCAACCTGAAGGTCATAATCTACATGGCAAACATAAGCACAGGATAAATATACTCCCTTCCAGCAACACAGAGGATCAGTACTGCCACTTTTACACTAACACTCTATAAGTTGATTCCTCAGCTCTGTTTGGGTTTACCCAGGCAAATGATAGTGTCGAGTAGCCAGGGACAGTAACTCTTGTAAAGGTGAGCAGGGAGGGTTGCCCACGTGGCAAGGATGCAGTAGCTATTGCACACAGCTGCACTGGGAGATGTTCTTGCACAGCAGGGAGAGGATGAGAGCAAACCCTTGTTGCCACCACGCTTTTATCATGGCACATGCAATGTGACTCAGCCACTGCCCCAGAAGTGCTGTGACTAGGGGAGAACTAAATGAAGATTTGATTTGAGAGCTAATAAAACTCCTTTAACTGCAGTTTGTTCACATAGAGGTCTGTGGTTAAAGTTTGGGTCTGTTGGCTTTGTTTTTTGTTTTGTTTAAGAATAACTGCAAGCACATTTTGTAATTACCTTCATCATTACATTTCTACATGTATCATGTTAGATTTTCCTATTAGGAAATAAGAATCACTAAGACTAGTTAGAAATACCACAATTGTTGCATCTAATCATTTTTTATAAGACTTCTTAAATTACCATCAGATTTTCCTCCCCTAAAATCAACCACCTACAAGGAAATAATTTAAATCATAATCCATCTGCATTAAATAAGCAGATGAAGGCAGAGAACCCTTGCTGCTAAGAATAACCACTAAGTACTTCTTACCACCAGCCTCCAGCATTGTTTTGGCAAGATCCTTCCTGAAAGAACAGAACACAACAAGATTTAAAACACTGAAGTTGGACTAACAGACTAAATAGAAGCATAACATTGCAGAACATCACTTTATGAAAAAAATCATGTATGAAACACAATAGTAAGCTCAGTAACTTCATCTGTGCCCATGCAGCCAGAGAGTGCTGCAGCCCAACTGAATGCCACCATCCCTGCAACAGCAATGGCTGGAGAAACACTTACGTAAGGAAACACACCTCCTCCGACAGCGGGAGTTTCTTCCTGCTCTCACGTGGGATGCTATCAAGTATAGAGTTGAGAGTCCTCAAAGCCTTTCTCCCCCATCAGAGGATGGAGCAGGGACAGAAAGAAGCCAGTTAGATATTTCTCACGCTTGTATTCAGTCACACACCCACCTGTGTTTTCTTCTCAACACACGGGCCTTACCTCCTGCCTCAGGGCACAGCAAACGCTTGCTTCTGTCACCAGACGCCCTAGCTCAGGCAGAAACAAGTTCACCAACTGCTTCTTCCCTACAAAAAGAGTTTGCAAGGCTGCAGTTAGCAATGAGCAGAACATCTGCATTACAGATAAGTGAAACAACATCAGTTTGCAGTGTTTTCTTGAAGAAGTAAAACTGCCCCAGTCACAGATTCAGCTTTCAACAGAGCTTATGGGGGGGGAGGAAACAGTTACCACACTGGTCTGCAAAGGGATGGCATGTGGGTTGGCATCCTTTCAGCAGGACCTCTTGCTGAACAAAATACTTGATGATGGCCATTTAAACAAGGTACCACAGCTGGTATGTTTAGTGTAAGAAAATTTTTTAAAAATGAAAGTGTTTTGTGCTCTGGTATATATGTTAATAAAATGAACTGGAAGGAGACCAGGAGGTTTTAAAGTACTTGTTACAGGGAGGAGGAGGAAGAGGAGAGGAGGGAGGGGATAGATTTCAAATAGCATTAAGAAATGTGCTCCTGAAGCTGAGATTCAGAAGACATAGGAATGGAAAGATAACACATACTGACCTTCGTTACTGCACTTGCAAATCACCTAACGAAGAAGTAAGGGAAGTTTTCATTAGCACACAGCAACTCAAGAACAGCAGTAGCCAAAGTGCCTCAGTGCTCGTGTCCCTACCATATCACCTCTCAGGGGCTGAAATAGCCTAAAACACTGCTGCACCCACATCCATTAAAGCACTGCCAACCAGGACAGCTGTCACATATGGTTACCCAGCATCACAGAGAGCACAAAGGAGCAGGGCACCCAGTCCCACAGGGAACTCAGCAGCACCCTCTGGTTCTTGCAAAACCCACATCCCAGCATGTTCTGGTGCACATATGGGCACCCTTGCATTACAACACTATTTATGTTTACACACTTCAACCACAAGTATTGCTGCAGGCAGTATCTGAAGAGTGTTGGAGTCACTTGGGGAAAAAAAAAAAAAAAGGTCAGAAATAACAAAGATAACAAAAAGAAACACAGAACCATCACCTTGTCCACAGTGAAAACATACAGAAGAAATGAGCCAGAAAGACAAAGGCATCAAACTGACAAATAATTTATCTATGGAGCCTTTTTGTATAATTTCAAGGAGAAACAAAAAGGCCTG